GGGCCCCTTCTGATGGGTGCAGCTTAGGCCTGGGCTGGCTGCTGTGGTGAAGTGCAGGTGGGGCCTCTGTCTGCCACGGGTCTGAGGCTTTGTCCTTGACGGGGCTGAACGCCTGCCTGCAAGAGGAGCCGGTCCCCGCTTGACCGCGGTCCCTCCGCTGCCTAACCAAGGAGACGGCAGAGACCAGAGGCAGCCATGGCATCAGCCGGGAGAAGCCACGGCCTGTGCCTGCGCCCAAGCGGGTCCGAGGGCACATGAGTATCCACGCAGCGGTGGCAAAGGCTGCAGCCTGATGCATTCCCAAGGAGATGTTTCATGAGGGCGGACTGGTTTCATCTCTGTGGAGAAGTGAGCGCTGGGGAAAGGCCAGCGCTTTTCACAGCCCACAGCTAGCAAGCACGGTTAATTCCGTCCTTGTTTTCCCCTGTACTGTGTGTGTTGTTGTTTTGATTAATCGGATAAGAAAGAGACATCTCAGCTTGCCTCGGAGCAGTTTAACTTTTGAATTATAACGTGTTGTCTCATTTTGCACGTGCAAGCCTTTAGAAAAGGATAACCTCTCGGCATCTGTCTGTGCGTGGGAGCCCTAATAAGCGCTGGGGCCAAGACATGTCTTCAGGAGGAGGAGGAGAGTCCCTTAGCTCCGCTGAGCTGGAGTTTGCTCTTGAGTCTCTGCAGGATCAGAGCAGGAGGGTATGATTTGCCTATCTTAAAGATGAAAGAGAAAAATTGACTTAACTTTAATCAGGATCTTATTAAGAAACTTAGCTTAATCATCAACATCTTCAGAAAACAATGTTTGTCAGTGCTTGCTCTTCCTAAAGACACAGTCTGAGGTATGGGCAAGCTGCAGTTAGAGATTGCAGCGCAATGCAGGGATACCTGGGTTAGGTTGTGAAAGCTCTTTCGGGTAGAAAGCACCCATGTATCACATAGTGAGACCAAGCAGGATAAAGTCATAACATTAAGCACTGTAATGTCACTAAGGGCCTGTGTATCCTGCAGCCTGAAAGTGCAGGCATATGCAGGTCTGGCTTTCCTCTGCTTAGCTTGGTTAGCGGTGTGTGCACAGCTCATGGGAGGTGCAGCCGAAGTGATGTGTCCCACTTCTCAGGTGAACTGCCTTCCCCAGCTGGCCTCCTTCAAGGATGCAGGCTCAAAGCTGAATCAGCTATAGCCAGACTTCTCATAACGTAGTGTATGCAAGCCTTCGGTGTAGGTATTTCCCATCTAATTGCAATGGTGATCCCACAGTGCCTGCCCTGCCAACGAGAGCCACAGCTCCCATGGGTGCATGCGTTACAGGGAGCGGGCATGATCCTGGTGGCCAGCACCAGGCAACTAGCTGCATTGTATTTTGTTGCATTTAGGAAAAAGGCTCCTTTCAGAAAAGGACTTAAGCTAACGCTTCAAACTCCTTGAAAGAATATTTTATTTCAAGAGACAGATCTTCAGCATGTGTAGACCATCACAGATCCATCCATTTCAAGGGGATCCAGCTCCTGATGGTTTGACTCAAGCTCTTACAGCGTTGGCGGTCTTGCTCTCTCGGCACGTCTGTATCCTACTTCTGAGAGATGCCTGTGGTTCACACGTACATGTATAAATGTGCACGTTCCCTAACTGTGCTAAAACCAAAGTGCGCCAGTCACACATTTGTGCTGAAACATTGCGCATCGTGTGTGTTCAGCTCACAGACGCATGAAACCGTGCGCACTGCTCTGATTTAGCTGTCTGGCACTCTTTGGGAGAAACACGAAATAGCTATGTGGAATTGCGCTTCTTTCTCACACGTGAACGCTTTTACCTCCTGCTTCCCCTCTGAGGGCACATGCTCACCCATGCTGCTGGTCTGTCAAGCACCAGGGAGGGCTCTGTGCTTAGGTGTGTGTTTTGAGCACTTGTGGGTGCACAGCTCTGCCATGCTCAGAAGTAAATTCCTTTCTTATAAGGAGAAAACTGTGGGCAGAAAGCATTAAGTCTGCATAAGATGCTGGCATGGTCTCCTCAAATGGTGGCCAGCTATGTCTGTATCTGTTAATAAAGCCACGCCAAGGTATGGACTGCAGCACTGGCCTCTGGTCACCTCTGGTCATCCATGCTGTTTAATTCATAGCTCCTGATAAAATTGTGGTTCAGGCCAGCTAACCCAGCTGGGAAGGACATGTGTCAGGGACCATCCCTGGGCAGGGTGTCAAATGGCCTCTGCTCAGCTTGGACCCCCTCCTGCCATCCCAGGGGCTTTGCACCTTTATGTACGCACACACCCTCACGTCACACCCCTGGAAATACAAGACGTGCTCTCAGCTTCATGCAGTAAAAGCATCCCAATGGTGCAGGGTGGCATTTGTGTTATTTCCCACTATCTGGGGGAAGAAAACACACCAAAATATCTGAGGGCGGTAAAAGCATACAAAAATGTCTTCGGGCCAATGGGACATGAGCTGGACCTGGAGGAGATGCACGGCCAAAAGAGTGAACCTGCCCGACCAGTTTCTGCCCCTGTTTTACAAAGCAGTGTGGATGTCATCAAAGTGTCCTGCTTTGGACTGTTTGTACCAGGCACAGTTTTGTTCCATAATCCATGCCAGGCTAATTTTTATCCTTTTTAAATTTTTTGTTTGTTTGTTTAATAAAGGGCAAAGGTAGCTCTTTCTGGTGCTGTATTGTGTACTGGCTTTAAAATGTTTTCTGTCTTCTGTACCTGAAAGTATTTGTATGCCTGCTAGGAATCAACTACGTGATTCATTTAGCAATGCTGTCTGCAGTGGCAGCACAGTTTTGCTGTTTACAGTTATTAAAATGAAGGACCATCAACATTAAAAGCAGAGGGTCTGAACTGCGTATACAGAGACTTTAATTTTAAGGCTCTTCTACTCTTCCTGTGAACCGTTTTTGTTTTTTGAAAGCTACAGACATGTTTTTAAACAAAGGCTGCCCTTCTTTTGGTGGGGAGGGAATTTTATAACTGGGGACCCGCCAATCTGGAGGGTGTCCCTTTGGATGAAGTGTTCTTTGATAATAGCTGTGCTATTTCTGAAAATGATCCCTGAGCTATTGCATTTCTTACAAGAAATCAAGACCTATTTGAAGGGTGAAGCTGACCATAAACTGAGCTGATTTTATTTGGTTTCACTTTTTTAAAATAAGGTAGGTGATTTCTCTCTGGGTGGGCCATTCTGCCTCCCAGTGACCTGTGCTTATGAGACCATAAGGCGAGAGGCTGAAGCCCTGGTCTGGTTTTCCAAGAGATATATGGATGAAGGTATTTAGGGATTTTTAAGCCCAGATTTTGAAGCCCGTGGGATTTAGATACCAAGTGCTTATCAATGCAGAGAGGGAATAGATATCTTAGTGTCTTCAGCAGCTCTGGAAATATCTGTCTCTGTGGCAGCCCATTTTACACCGGACAGCAAAGAAAGGAAGGGAGAGAGAGCCTTCCCTGGATACTGTGTAGATCCTGGAGTGAGATGCTGTGCCCGGGAGGATGCCCAGAGGCAACCCTGGTAACCTCAGGGAGGCTCATGCTTGTTCACCCCCTGGCTGGATCTTCTGGTGGGCCTCGCTGCCTGGAGAGGGGTGCTGCATACAAGCGTGAAGCCTCTGAGAAAAAAGTCAAGAGCAGCCTCCTGCCCTTAGGAAAATGACCCCCTTCCTGGTGCCTGGGATGAGCCGCCTGGTTGCTTGCCCTGCCATGCATGGATGCTCCCCGGTGTTTGGGGTGAGGTGGCCCAGGTTCATGAAGCAGGATGGCCGAGCCCATGCAGGGCTCTGCCTGCAATAACCCGCCCTCTCCCTTAGGGTAGATTAAAGTGGGAAAAATGTTGGGCTGAGGAGGTTAATCTGCTCACAGATGAGCAAAGCAGCGAACCCCCTTGGCAGGAGACTTGTCCCATCCATGTCACGTGCCCTGACAATGCCGGGGATGCATCAGTGCTGGAGGTGTGACTGCAGAGGGATGCAGTCCTGACATCCCATTTACAGCACATCCCAAATTAGTGGGTATCCAAAGGTAGGTGAGATGAATCCTGCCCCAGGGGACTGTTTCCGAAAAGTCAGCATCCTTGTTTGCGCAGCATTTTTTGAATGGATGTAGACCAGAAGACTAGAGACAGGTCTAGCTTAATTCAACAGCAGCTCCACATGGTCTCTGCAGCGCTTTAGTCTATTCCTGGGGATACAGTCCGAGATCTTTTGAAACAAGGAAAGCTGCTTCCAAAGCAATTGCTTTCAAAAACCTCCATTAAAAATACACTGCTAATTGCACATAATTAACAGAGGTTGGAGGAACAGGTGCAAGATGCACTGGAATCACTAGCAGTCTGTTGTTGTCTTGAATCTTTCAGGCATTTTAAAATCAAATGTATAACTCTATCTGATATAAAGTGGTTGAGAGGTTACTACAGGTGGAACTGTTAGCAAAGGGAGGTTTACTTTTTTGGTTTGAGATTTTTACAGCTCAGCAAGTAAGCAACTGAAATGTGCGATTTCTGTTTGATCTACTAATTGCAGTTTTCAGCCCCTTGCAATTAGGTGACTGAAAGAGCAGTAAGGCCAGGGCAGATTTCTACATGCAGCTATTATTAGGAAAGGCATTGACAGTGTAGAGGTAAATAATTGGGGTGAAAGATAATTAATACATACTACATACAATAGACAATATGCACTACATATATTTTATAAGCATTAGTCATCTTCTGCATTTGTATAGGGGATATATGTGGTTTCTGGATAGGTACATCCTTGTTTATTTGGACGTATGTCTGCATACACAATCAGGTTTGAACTCAGAGTGTCGGTACCTCAGTACTTTTTACCTTTTAAAAAGTGTTACGCATGACACATCCTCTAGGATGGAGCTTGACAGTAATAATTGTGTGGTTGGCTTGATGGTGCTTGATAAAATCATGAGAATGGAGGAGAGTAAGGTGCTTAGGCGATGCTTAAGTTAATCCCATGCCTTCCCAGCAAGCTGAGCAGCACGCTAAGGAGCTATTCCCGAAAGTGGAAGGAAAAGATGCGGTCCAAGATGGGAAGCGTCCTGCTGTCTCTTCTTTTCTGGTACAAAGGTATGCACTTTGCCTCCTGAGAGGCACTTTCAGATCTCCCTCTTTGTATTTCTTGTTTCATCCACACTTCTTTCTTCTGCCAGGGGCTGTAGGCTACAGAGCAAGCTCTTGTCTACGTTCTCATGGAAGCATAATAATTCGGGGAAAGGCAAAATTGTGGAGGAGATGTGTAATTTATGTACATGAGTGAGCAGCGTTCTTACAGCTCTATGAATATTCAGTAGTAAAACTCTGTTTCACAAAGTAATTGCAGTGTAAAAAAATTGCCATATAATTTGTCAAAATATGAATTTGCAAAGAAAATTGTAGTGCAGCTGAGCCAGTGAGTAAATAATAATGCTGATTTGAAAAATGAGGTACAGTATAACATGAAAGACTGGTCCTTCATTAATCAAAACTCTTGATTAATCAAAAACTGTTCATTTTCTCTAGCAGCAAGACATTGCTGATGGAGATCTGCCTTTTTTAACAGGCTCTTTCAGGTATTTTGGCCTGGAAAAGACTTCCAAAGGCACTTTAAGAACAAAAAGCAATCATAAGTCAAGAAAATGGGAAAAGTATTTATCAGTTTTGAGGCTTTCTCAATTTTGAGGCTTTCTCTTTTTACTTTTCAGAAAAGTAGCAATGATAGCAGGTAAACGGGAACTAGAAGCAGCCAGAAAATTCAGGGTCATGGTCTCCTTCCATTTTCATTAACCCAGCTGTGGAACGAGGAGATAATTTTCTGGTTTGTGTTTGAACTTCTGGCTTCATCGAACCCAAGGGCAAAGCTGCTATTATCTTGAACAGGGCTGAGGTTGCTCTTGCTAAGTGTTGGGCAGTATCTACCAACATTAACATGTGAATAGAGTATGATCTGTCGGCGTGTGGGACAGTTTTATCAAACAGTCCAGCTTTTCCCCCATGGATGTTGAATTCTCAGTGTTTTGCTTTGTCTAGTTTTTTTTTTTTTCTATCTTTCTCTGTTTCCATTGAATATTTTGATCTACCAAATTTCATGGATAGGAAAGTGTTCATCAACTACCCATGCCTTCATTTCGTCCTGTTATGCTTGGCTGTACCCTGCTCTGTCTAATTAACAGGTCTTGCTTTTAATCTTCCATCAAATATTTGTGCGTTCTCCTCATACCTTATCTCTTCACTCTCCTTTGTTTCACCTGGGAAGGTTACTGGTGCCTGAGCTTCTTGGAAGGCTGGCTTTACCCAGCATTTTTTCCCTGATGGGTGGCGTAACTGCAATTAGTCCTTGGAACGAGTTCATACCTTGCTCTGAATCCCAGACACAGCTTGCTCTTAATAGACACCCACACATCAGGATATTTTCGGAGAGCCTGCAGTGAAAAATTACTTGCAGGATCACTTTCCAGGCATCGCTCCTTCAGTATTTAATTTATTTTCTTAATTTAACAGTTTTCTTAGTTTACTGTTTTTCACTGCTTTGTTGTCCAAGTATCTTCTTCTGGCTAAAGAGTGAGCGACGACCCTTTGCCCAGGTCCCCCTCACACTCCTGCCTCTCCCACCAGGGAGAAGGTGCCACTAGGTCAGTCCTCCGAGCCACGTGCACTGATGCCGTGATAAGCTCCTTAGCTTATTTTCTCCAGCAGAGCAAGTGGCTTAGAGGAGCACCCCCAGCCCCCGCGCCTTGGCTGGGCTCGTGTTTGCCGGGGACACCACCGCAGCAGCAGCAGCAGCAGCATATGGTGCAGCAGGCAGGCTCCGGCGATGAAAGCCGCAACAGCTGCCGGGCCCCCTCCATATGGTGAGGGGGAGCACCCCGAGCCCCGAATTGACACCAATATGGTTTTAGCACATTGAATGTGACATGCCTGCGCCGCATTACTCCATCCGTGCTCACGACACGGCGGGGAATAAGAACACCTCAGCAGTTTAAAAGAGTGGATTTCTTTTTTTCCCTCTCTGTTTTTTTTCAGCTTTGGAAAGAAACCTACCAAAATCAAAGGCCCAAACCCGCCTTCAGATCACAGTAAATAACACCTTTAGTGCCGCCCTTTGTCATAATCAATACATCTGGTGAAATTACTATGCAGGCAATGTTCTGCATAGCTCTAAGCTGCAAGGAACAAACATGTCAATAAGATCAGGAATTGCCAAAAATTTTCAAAGGAACACTTTCAGAAAAAATATAATTATACAGCTCTTAGGAAGAAAAGGGGAAAAGGTTGATTTTTTTCAAATTATTTATGTTTTTTTCAAATATTTTCACAACATAAAAAAAATTGTAGAAGCATTATGGAGACAGCAGTCATAAAAGAGAAATATATATGGATTAAATAATAATTGTCATTATTTAAATATGTTTTTTGTCACTTTCAGATAAGTAACAGTAAATATTAAATGAGACACAATGCAAATGAATGGAAATGGAAACAAAATAAAAATAATTCAAATAAAAAAATGAAATGGAAATGAAAATAATAAACCCATGAAAAATCCACACAAAATGAATGAGGAAAACAGCAGCCACATTAAAGCACGAGAGAGGAGCTTAACGTGAAGTGTGAGCCCTTCTCCCCTCCGCAGGCTGATGCTGGTGCTGGTCCTCTTGCCCTCAGTCTCTGGCTCTGGCCGTGCCGCACACTCAGTCATCGGCAGAGATGTGTGCGAGGGCGGTGGTGCCCTGCTGGGGGGTCTCAGGGCGAGAATATCATCTACAGGGGGGAACAGGCTGTGCATTTGGCTCAGTGCGGCTTTAGGTGATGGGAACCCCTGGATGAACGCCCTGCTTTCACCATGCCAGCCTGGCTCCCAAAATCTTTTGATGGACACGGGTCGGCATACACCCTGGGGGTCTCTGCCTGCCAGCATAGTTCCCAAGGACCATGTAAAGCCTGCACTTTTTAGAAATAAAGGCACTGCTCGCACCACAGGACAGGTCCCCATGGAGCCTGCTTAGCACAGCTGTGGAAAAAGCCCTGGGGGAAAAACAACAAAAGCATCCACTAAGCGACTGGGCGAGGGGACCATGCCTTCTGAGGGGACTGGGGGACCGGCCACCGCTGCAGCAGGGGTCCCTGTGGCTATCGCCATTGGCACAGGGGCAAGGCGAGATGGGGAAAACGCCACGTGCGACGGTGGCCTGGGATGTGGCAGCTTCCCCAAATGCACCTTGCTGCCAAGGCTGGTGCAGCCTGATGTGAGTCACCTCGCATGCCTGGCACGACTTCCAGGGCTGGGATGTAAAAATAGCCTAGGTTAATAATATAGCAACCCACAAACTGGCACCCGATGGGCACGGAGGTACTGCAGTGCTTTTTTCAGCGTCTCGACCCTCTGCGTTGCTTACAGACCACCTCACCTAACTCTGCTTCCTGATGCTTCCTAATGTGGCGTTCAAGGACTTGCAATGCTGCGCTTTTCAGAAAACATGACAAAACCAGTGCCATTCATTCCAGTCACCTCTTTCATTTCTGTCACAGCTTTTCTGGTGCTTCTGTTTTTTAAGCTTTTTTTCTTTCCCTTGCCCCATGGCCCACATGTGCAGAAGGGAAGCAGGTGAGGAGCTACGCAGCAGGAGCCACCACGCCGGGAAAGCACTGCATCACAGAGGGAGTGCTCTCCACTGGGAGAGGCAGAGAGAAAATAATTTTGCTGATCTCTCTGGGCTTTGTTAAACTGAGATGTTGCTTGCAGAGATGAGAGGCAAAATTAACTATTTTCCAGCTTGTAGGCCACCGAAATCGTGAAGTCAATAAACAGAGTCATTAACATTTTCCGCATACTTTGCTTGCAATGATCAGGTTTATGTGAACTTATTCCAGTAAATGGAGTGATTGACATTTATTCTGTGTTATATTTTATTTCTCTGTTTTATTTTATGATGTGCTTTCTCATGCTTGTACATCTGGCATTAATTCTAGCCCCTCTAAAAAAAGATGGCTTGCTGTCGTGGCTCTACAGTCAGGATATTCAATATGATTTCTCAGAGATGACCGTATCAAAATGTGCTCAGCGTTTGGCAGTTACTTCTGCCCACACTTACCTTTCTGCTTTCTTTCTCTTGTTTATCCACTTTTTTAATGAATGACCTCAGATTTTCGGACACATGCAGTTACCTGCTCCCATCATTAAAATGCCAGCAACTAAGCCTCCTTGATACCATTTATCCCTTCCTTTCCCCAGCGAGTCCCAAGTTGTGGCTGCTGCTTTATCCCACCTCCACCTCCAGAAACCCATGTCCTCCCCATCCCAGCATCCCAGCACTGCCTCTGCCAGGTCTTTTCCTTGTGCCCCAAACCCGGGCCAGTCCCTGAGGTTCCATCCATCCACTCCCCTCCATCTTGCCCAGCGGTGGGTGCCAAGTGGGGGTGCCCCAGTGTCCATGCTCCAGCCCAGCCCCACCAGGATGGGTGCTGCGGCACAAAATCATCCCCTAGTGCTTGCCCAAGCCCCTGTCCCCAAATCCTGTGGTACAGGGTGGCATTTGTGCATGGTGTTGCATTGGATGCAGCACGCTGCAGGGCAGGATGGAGGGATAGGAAAGGCACATGCCATATCTCCCTGCCTCTCACAAGCGCACACAGATAATAATTTATTTCACTGAACTGATGGTTTGCTGAATGTCCTGGGGTGCTGCGGGGGCTGTAAATAGGTCTCTTTCCTTTTTAATGTTGGGTCTTTTTTTTTTTTTTTTTTCACTTCTGTACTTTTAAAACAACAGCCCCCGGCAGCTGTGCAGGACTTATGACTCTCCCACGAATTGCAGCAATTCGTTCTGTCTGACCTACAATTACCAATTATCTTTGTAACCTTCCTTGAAGGCAAACACGCTCGCTATAAAAGCATGCTGCCCATCACATTTTTAGGCTATTGGCAGCCAGCTTTACTCTTCATTTCCTTTGTAGGACAGGGTCCGTCACAGCTGTAAACACACCAATATATCAATTACTACTTTTTCCGGCCGACTGCAGGCAAGGGCATCTTTTCCTCTCCCGACACCAGGGGTTATCAGGCTGCACTGCCCAGGTGGGACATTTGGCCCATCCGCTACCACGCTTACCCCAAGCCAAGCCTGCTGCTCCCCTGTGCCCCAAGCTGCGGCTGGCCGCGGGCCGAGCTGCTGGCAGGAGTGAGCCCTTAGCAGTTAACTTATTTTAACTCAAAAAGACAAAGCTGACCTCCTATCGGAGATGTTTAAACCAGTGAGCCATGCGGCGAGGGGTGGAGGACCCTAACTCGCCAGGGAGGGACAGCCGGAGGGGGGGGGGGCAGCACACCAGCGCCCCTGCCCTGCCACTGCCTTTGCACCACTGTGTGTCGAAGGGCTGACCCAATAACGCATTGCCTTGAGATAAGGGCTTTTGTGCTTGAAATCCACACCCTTGCTTGATTTGCAGTGATGCCTCCTGGCTGACAAGCTGAAAAACCCTAAAAGCCACTCTTGTAACTCAGGAGCAGGCGTCACTGGCCTGGTGCAGCCACCCAAGCAACACCAGGGTGGCCAGGGAAGGAGAGTTTATTCCTGGTGGTTAAGTAGGTGCTACTGTACACCCACCCACCTGAAAACTATTCCTTTTTTTTTTTTTTTTTCCTGTTGTTTCACTCACAACCATTGGGTTTCCAGCTGCATCTCTCAATGAGGTGCTAAGCTTTGATCTTGGCTCTGAAATACCCGGGCAGGGACGCAGGAGTTGTGCTGAAGGGCTCAGCGTGGACCCAAAGCAATACCCCTTCATCAGCCTGGTAATTCCCACACCCTTTCCCCACCGCAGGCACACGGTGCACAAGAGTAGGCTTCACCACAACACAGGCTTCCTCACGCTGGGCAAATGTACCTGACACACATGTAAGTGGGCTGCTGGTATGCACTGGAAGAGAAGAGAGAAATATTTTATTCCTATACAAAGTATATTAATTTGCTATTTTGTTTACGAGGTTTTCTCTGTATCCTCTAAAGTCCCCCTGCAACACCCAAGGTGCCAAGGCAAGTGTTCATGCAGAGAGATGTGGGCACCTTTGCTTTCACCTCAGTGTGGCTCCAGGTCATTGCCAGGCAAAAGTACATTTAACCACTGAGAGGAAAACACAAAATGTCCCACAAAAGGTTCTCCACAAAAATCAATCTTCCAAAGGAGCTGAAGAAACACATAGTGAGAGCACGTCTCTAAATGACTCTTGAACGCCTGCAGGCTGGAGGAGCTGAGGAGCTGTGAGCTCAGACCTGGGTGTTGGGGACGCATGGTGGGCTGTGCTGGCTGGAGATCCAGGCTCCCAAATCCCAAGGGAATGAAGCTAGTCCTTGCAGCCAGTGCTCCCAGAGCAGGGTACCCATCCTGCTGCAAAAGGCCACCGTGACATGAGCTGGAGGGGCAGGAGAGGCTCCCACTGGCCCAGGTCCCACACCCACGGTGCCAGTGCCACTCCAGCGTCGGCATCAGAGCATCAAGCAGGCAAAAGACACACCACATTGCTATTACTGGCAAAGGCAATACACTTTTGATAGTTGATAATGTCTCGGTTTGTAGCCTCTTGATCCAAAGACAGTCAGCATTAACTTAAACCATCCTCATGCTGTGTGGCACAGCATGGAGGTGGCAACGCGCTGCGTGGCCTTGGGCTTGCACCTCCGCCTTGGTTTTCCTGTTGCACAAGAAGTCACGGGACTCGGCTGGGAAACATCTGTGCTGGGAAAGGTGGAGCGCGGCGTTGCGCAGGGCCCCCAGCCTGCGCTTTCCAAGAGGCCAGATCTGCGGGGTCTGGGTGCCCCCCAGCCTCCCTCCTGGGCCTGACTAAAAGCCACATCTTTTTATTGTAGACCGACATTTACTTCTTCTGCCAGGGCCGTTGCCTTGGGTTCATGCAGTAAGTTCCTGATGCCAGAAACGCTGCCCTGGGACAGTGAAGCAAAGGACGCCACCTCCTCATTAAAGAAAAGAATTTTTTAAAAAAAATTTCTTTATAATTTTGTTCTTTGCTGGGGTCTTTCTTTCTGAGTCTTCATACATTCAGGCTTAGCGTCACACCCAAGGAGCAATTGCATTTCAGTAATAAATAGAGCTTTGTATTTAGTTTATATTTCAGCTGATTGTAATTGCGCAGTGTTTGGAAGTCTTTTGAGATGAAACTTGCTATAGAAATGCAGGATGTAAATTTCCAGCATTAGCTGGAGCTTCCCAGGCTCAGCAAAGTGACAGTGTGTGAATGAATAAATCATAACTAAATTTCAGTGAATAATTCAGACTCTAATTCATTTGATGAAAAGATCCTCTTTTCCTATTCACAAAGCCTCTGTTTGGAGATGGTGGGTTTCTCATGGCTCCTCTATGCCAGTTTTTACCTGCTCAATAGCTTGGTCCTTAGTGGCTTGCAGATTGCTTACTGGTATTGAAAACATGAGGTTTGACATTTGACTTGTGGTGATGAGTTATCAGCAGCCATGGGACAATTTTTTTATTATTATTCTATTTTCATAGTTGTCTGGGCACTATTCTGCCAGTCCAAATGCTATTAACATAGTCTGCTTTGGATTTCACTGGGAATCGGGAGAGCCCTTTTTAGCAAGGAGCAAAATTTCAGCAAAAGCTATTGCTCAGTGACAGGCAGGAGATAAAACAGGTCAGATGTTACAAAAATAGCAGCTTCCCTCTACAGCCACAACTAGTTTTCTCCAAGAAAGAGACAAAAGGGAGTCTCATATGTAAGATGGGTTGGGAAGACCTATTTACATTCCATTTTCCTCCGTCCCGTCCAGAGGGACTGATCTCAGGTCAGACACCTCGCAGGGTGTCCCATCTCCTCAGAAGGCACCGAGGATTTGCATTAGTGCCAGGCTGGGATTTCACCCATGGGGTTCATCAGCCCACACATTCTAAGAGCAAAATGGGAAAAGAGAAACTGCGTGGGCAGGAAGATGGCAAAAAGGGATAGGGGTGAAATTAGCTGTAAAGCAGAGGCCAAGGGGGCCGGCATGGGTTTCTACTCAGGAAGTTTCAGGCATATCTGACCAGAAAGAAGAGATGCCAAAGGCATTGAAAAGAAAACACAGTGCGAGAGTAGCACTGGCACGGGCACATGCCTGTTCCTGCCCATCCACTCTTGCTTTCCCCTGGCAATCAATTGGGGGAAACACAGTAGATTTGTCAATCCTTCCTCGATTTATTTGTCCCCAGCTCAGGAGTAAATGTCCATTGCATTTCCTGAGGTTTGCTTGAAGCATCTTCATTTCTGATCTTTCTCTCTCTCTCTCTTCTTCCCTCCATGCCCGCTGACGCAGCTGTGCTGGCCCTCTCCCCGGGTGAGGTAAGTCCCCCTGGCTGGTTTGGCTGCCAGGTAAATGCTGGGGGCCCGACACTGCCTGGCTCTGGTGCCTTGGGGCCAAAGGAGGGAATGTACCTGGGACTCCAAGCCCAGGCATGGGCTTTGACCTCTGAATCCAAGGGGGATCCCCACATTTTGTGCCGGGATGGCATGAAGAAAGGGGCTCAGAGAAGGTGCAGCAGCCCAGCCGGGCAGGAGTGTCTGTCGAAGCTTCAGGACTCAGATATAGCCTCATGTCACTATTATCGATGACTATGTTGATTTATTATTGGGGTTTTTTACCTTCTCTTTAGGATGAGAGACTGGAGCTGTGGCACAGCAAGGCTTGCAAATGCAATTGCCAAGGAGGTCCTAACTCGGTGTGGTCCAGCGGGACTAACAGCTTAGAGTGCATGCCAGGTAATGGGCCAGTGTGCTTCTAGCCATGTTTGTCTGGTGATCTTCAGCGGCTTCCCCCGTTGCACCCTGCGTTGCAGAGGTGGCACCTTACAGCGGCGGTACTTGTTCCAAACCCAGCTGCCGGTGGGGCTGGGGGAGCTGCGCTGGTGGGAGGTGCGGGGTGACCCTGCATCATCAGGCAGAGGGGCAACAGCAGCGGGGGACATGTGTGGGCCTCAGGAGGTCACCCACGGTGTCCCAGGCTCACCAGTGCCAGTGGGCACTTGCCTGCCCTGTCCCTACAGCCCCTGGCGCTGGTGCTCCATGAAACTGCCCGGGGCAGCTACCTCTGTGTGTAGGATTTGCTGTAGGAAAGCTTTTGCACTGGCTAGGCTCATTGTCCCTTGCTGCAGTTTAGTTTGTGACATGCCCTCCTCTTCCCAGAGGTCGAGGAAAACAGTTTATTCTTTCTTTGCAGAATAATTTTAAACAGTAAAAGACGACAATCCTTTGAGTTTTTTTCCGGGCTGCCCCTACCCAGCAACTTCAGCCGTTCTGCACAGATCATGTTTTATGGGTTTTTGATCAAGCTCTTTCCTCGTTATTCTCTGCAACTGCCACATTTTCCCTGATATATTACTCCAGCAAGGTTTTATCGGTGCCCAGCTGACCCTCAGGTTTAGCACACGTGTCCCACAGAGGCTGTATTCTTGTTCAGGCCTCTGTCAAGCAGATGTTCAGAGGTGTTCACCCCCTCTGGGGCTGGATGCTGAAAGTGGTACCTTCCTCATACCTACTAGCAACCACCTCTTCCCAGATCCTGCCAGAGGTTGTGCAACAACCTGAGGTGTGTTTTGCTGCCCCCAGGTTCCCCAGGGGAGATACATGGAGGAAATCATCACCCCAGTGCTCAGAGTTTGGCGTGGCTGCCCTGAAGGAGGAGGAGGTTAAATGAGTTACCCTGGAAGAGCTCTGAGTAGAAGCCAAGACAGGCTAGAAAGCAAATAAAAATGTGTATTGACAAGAAGATATGACACCATTGGCAGAGCTTGCAGGCATACACAAACAGAAATAAGAGGGGAGATATCCCAGCTGTTTCTACCCCATGCTTGTGTTGGCCCTGAAGGTTTCCCTCCCATGGTGTGAGGCAGCTGACAAGCGCAGAAGCATTCTAGCCATCCTTGCTGGGCCGTCTGCTTCCCCTGAGCTCTCCCTCCATGCACCCTGCTCCTGTGGAGGCCATGTCCACCTGGGGCTCACCCAGCTTGAGGACTGCCTGCAGGCTTCTTCCCTGCCCAGAGAAACTACAAGGAGAGGATTCATCCACAGTGCATGAGTGGTGCATGAGTGGTGTCTTGTCCCTGGGGCAGAGCGGTCCCAAACATCCCCAGTAATGGGTCACGGCTTCTCAGGCTCTGTCCTTCCAGTTTCTGCAACCGGTATCTCCACAGGGGAGGTATGAAGAGGAAGAAGGCATTTGCTGGACACAGCCCCTGTGATGCAGAAGAAGCGCTTATAGGCGCTCCAGAAATGGTACCTTATATCTCTTGTTCTGAGAGTTTTCTCTAGTCTCTTACGAAAGAAACCCATACGCACTTCCCCAAACATGAGTCTGAGCTGGCATGGCCCTTCCTGAGCTCACTGCTCCCTTTCGAAGGGCTGGCCACCACAATTATTTTTTCTTCACTGCATCATCATGAAGCCCACCAGTGATGGGCAGGTCCCCATAGTCCTTGTATCCTTGTATCTCTCCCCATTCAGAAGGTGCCCCACCTGCACTTGCACATCCTCCACCTGTAACTGTAACTGTAGGGCAACCAAGATGATTGAGGGATTGGAGCATCTCCCTTATGAGGAAAGGCTGAGAGAGCTGGGACTCTTTAGCCTGGAGAAGAGAAGGCTGAGGGGAGGAGACCTTATTGTTGCTTACAAGTATCTAAAGTGTGGGTTGAAGCAGGATGGAGCCAGACTCTTCTTGGTGGTTCCCAGTGACAGGACGAGGGGCAATGGGCACAAGTTGGAACACAGGAAGTTCCGTTCCAATACACGGAAAACTTCTTTACGGTTTGGGTGACAGAGCACTGGCACAGGCTGCCCAGGGAGGTTGTGGAGTCCCCTTCTCTGGAGATTTTCAAGACCCGCCTGGATGCAGTCCTGAGTAATGTACTCTGGGCAATCCTGCTTTAGCACGGGAGTTGGACTAGATGATCTCTAGAGGTCCCTTCCAACTCTGAAGATTCTGTGATTCTGTGATCCCTTTGCATGGAGCTGCAGTAAAGCCTATTTTGGATAAATGGAGATTACTGCATACCCCAGGTCGCCAGGTAGGATCCCCCTGCTTCCTGCAGCTTCCTGCAGTCATGTGCAAAGGAGCAGCATCATCACACCCACATGCACCGCAGAGCCCTATGACAATGCTGAGTCACAGCTGGCCCAGCAGAGATTCCTGACCAACCCTTGGAAAGTCCTTCTTCGCATGGTGACCCCCTATCGGCACCCATGCCTGGCATGCCAACCTGGTCCTACTGCATGTTTTCTTGCTGTCAAACCTTAACAGTGTACAATTCTCCATCTGAAGCCTTGCTACAGCCTGGTACCACCCTGCTCTTTCTTGCACCAAGAAATCACAGAATCACAGAATGATTTGGGTTGGAAGGGACCTTTACAGATCAACTAGTCCAACTTCCCTGCCATGTGCAAGGACATCTTTCAGTAGACCAGGATGATCAAAGCGCCGTCCAACCTGACCTTGAATAATTCCAGTGGTGGGTAATCCACAACTTTTCTGGGCAACCTGTTCCAGTGCCTCACCAACCTCATTGTAAAAGATTCTTTCCTTATGTCCAATCTAAACCTACCCTCTTTCTGTTTAAAACTGTTGCCCCTTGAAAGGGAAGGGGAGGGAAGGGAAGGGAAGGGAAGGGAAGGGAAGGGGAGGGAAGGGGAGGGGACGGCA